CGATCTTTAAGGTATATCTTCCAGGTCTGCAGTGATCCTGTGGAACATTTCCAGAAATGTTCCTTTGTACCCCTATTCCTAATCCTAATCTGAATAGACAGAGAGCTCTTCAGATATTTTTAGAACTTGACAATAAGTAACTTTTCTTCCATTTTTACAGTTAGAATGAAACCAGAAGCTGAAAGAAGAAAAGAAATAACAAAACATGTCAGTTTTTCGTATTTAATTTTGAGCTTCCTGTTTGTTCCGGCTGTGTTTTGGTCTCTTCAGGAAGGTGAATAAATGTTACCGAGGACGATCCTGCCCCATCATCGTTCACTGCAGGTAAAACTAGAGTTAAATGCTTCACCTCATTTCTGACAAACTAATTCATTCTCTGATTCTGTGTTTTACAGCAAATTGTTTCATGCATTTTAAAACTTCAATCATGTGACCACTTGGTGGCAGACATTAGTCACACTTAATGTGCTTGGCTAATATGATGTTGACTTGTGTTTCCATAGCGACGGTACAGGCCGGACTGGGACCTACATCCTGACTGACATGGTTCTGAATCGTATGGCTAAAGGTAAAGCAAACAAAGTCCAGATAAATATCCAAACACGCCCGAAACGATTCGTTAAGAGAACGTTCCCATGATCCTTCAGGAGTGAAGGAGATCGACATCGCTGCGACGCTGGAGCACGTCCGAGACCAGCGGCCCGGGATGGTGCGCACCAAGGTGAGTGTGGACCTGCAGGAACCACCCAGAACCCTCACAAAACACCGCATGGACTTCATGGGTGAAGCCACATGAAAACAGTGATGTTATTTACAAAGAAACAACAAATTTGTACAAATATTTAAAATTAAATGAGAAAGTGATTGTACTCTAAGTAAAGATGGAATTCAAACCTGCGACCTCCTGACCACAGACTTCTATTAACTAGTAGCAAAATACTAGCTAAAAGTAACAAAACTCTATATAAAAGGAGCAAAATACTAGCTAAAAGGAACAAACCCCTAGCTACAAGCTAAAAGTAGAAAAATGCTAGGTAAAGTAGTAAAACCCTAGCTAAAAGTACCAAAATACAAGCTAAAAGTAAAACTCTAGTTAAAAGTAGCAAAATACTAGCTAACAGTAACAAACCCTAGCTACAAGTAGCAAAATACAAGCTAACAGTAACAAAACCGTAGCTAAAAGTAGCAAAAATACTAGCTAAAAGTAACAAAACACTAGATAAAAGTAGAGAAATATTAGCTAAATGTAACAGAGCCCTAGCTACAAGCTAAAAGTAGCAAAAATACTAGCTAAAAGTAACAAAACATTAGATAAAAGTAGAGAAATATTAGCTAAATGTAACAAAGCCCAAGCTACAAGCTAAAAGTAGCAAAATACTAGCTAAAAGTAAAACACTAGATAAAAGTAGAGAAATATTAGCTAAATGTAACAAAGCCCAGCTACAAGCTAAAAGTAGTAAAATATTAGCTAAAAGTAACAAAACCATAGCTAAAAGTATTGTTAAAAGTAGGAAAATACTAAGTAAACGTTAACGTCAGAACGGCAGCTAGAGGCAATGGCAAAAACAAGTTTGCGAAAAGTAGACTAGCTAAAAGCTAAATAGTTAGCAAAAGGGCTAAAAATACAAGAACAGTAGCTAGAAGCTAAAAAAGGCATAAAGCTATCTAAAAGCACCGTAAAGTTAACCAAAAGCAGTAAAAGGTTAGTTAGAAGCAATAAGTTCTAGCTAGAAGCTAAAAGTAATGAAGGCTAGCTACAAGTAGCAAAAACTAAACTACATGTAGCAAGTGAAGAGCAAAAAGCAGAAAAGTTTGTGTAAACGGCTCAGAAAGGTTCAGTTTTAATCCTGAATTTTGGTTTACTCCTACAATAAGATATTTTAGTGACAAAGCTCATATCGCCCCCTGCTGGTCGACATTATTTTACAGATTAAAAATATGTGGCTGATGACCGTCCAGTGATCACTCGAGGGGTTTGCTCTTTCCCACCAGTAAGTTTGTCGAATGTGATGCATTAAAAACAATTTGTCTCTTTGTCTCATGTCCAGGACCAGTTTGAGTTTGCGTTGACCGCAGTGGCCGAGGAGGTGAACGCCATCCTCAAAGCTCTGCCCCAGTGAAACCAGAACCCGGGCCTTCCCTCCCACACTGCACCTCAGCTGATGCTTTCAAACCAAGTCAGAAAATATTGAGGTTAGGACTGATGTGTATCCCGGGACCTTAAAAACCCCATTCTCCAAGCTGCATGTGAAGGCACCACAGACCATGTTTCCAAAGATTCCCTGGAACTGTTTGGAGTTTGGGCAAAGCATTGTGGGTAAAGTGTTTGTTTTGGACTCGTCCAGGAAGCTACACCTCGTCGTCCTGCTGCCCCCCACCCCCCAATGTGCCATTTTAATCATCTTTAATCGTCGTGTCTCTGGATATGTTGTCAACCTCAAGCAAAACAAAGAAAAAAAAAAAAAAAAAAAAAAGCTTTTTGTATCTGTGAGACCTTGAAATAAATTGTGTCCAAGTGCTGCAACAACCGTGTGACTTCCTGTAGTTCAACTACCAAGTTAAACATAATATTTAAAGTTAACAGTACAATGTTTCGGATTTCCTGCTCAACAGTTGCCACATTACCACAGAACTGGAGAGAAGCTGCTAAACAGCTAAAATCAGTTTAATTAGCTGGAATACTGTACTTTTGGAACTAAAGTTTCTCAAACTTTGATGGGACCGTCACGTTGAGGCCAATTTTAGAGTCCTGTTCAGATGATATTTCAATGACCGAGTTAGTGTTGTAGCAGCTGTGGTCATGTGACACTGGCAGTTCCCAGTCTTCGCTGAGCAACCTTGTTGCCACGGTAACTCAGAATGACTAAGTGTCGAGCTGGTCATTTTAAGATTTGAGGGGTTGCTCGTTGCAGGTTGGGCCCCATTAGTTGATGGAAGTTAAAACCCTTCCTGGTGGTTTATGTGCTTGCCGGATCCAAAATGGCCGACTAATGGAAACTCCCAATAGTCAGCCATTTTGGATCAGGCAAACAAGCCAGATAGAAAATAAAATAAAAAATTGGAAGACTTTGAATAATGGCGTTCTACAGTATTAAATGTTCAAAAATGAAAAATATTTTGAGTTTGTCCAAATGACTGCAAAGCATGAGTCTGGAGCAGGACTATTCAACTAAACTGCTCAGGGGGGCAGTTACTGAAAACCAAGAGCTCAGTGACATCCAGCAGTTCGTGTTCTAGTTTAGTTCAAAATGACTGAACTTTGAACCCGATTTGGCCCCAAGCCACCAGTTGAACAGCCCTGGTCCTATAGGTCTTTTGTTGACGCCGGGCTGTTTAACCCCAAAGATGGAAACAATAAAAACCCACAACAGTCGAGTTGAACTTTATTAAACTAAAACGAACAAAAACAAAAATACATGGGTGCGTTTGAACTAAGCTCTAGTACTCTTCGCCCTCTTCCTCCTCTTCGACGCTGTCTGTTCCCACCTCCTCGTAATCCTTCTCGAGGGCGGCCATGTCCTCTCTGGCCTCGGAGAACTCCCCCTCCTCCATGCCCTCCCCCACGTACCAGTGGACGAAGGCCCTCTTGGCGTACATGAGGTCGAACTTGTGGTCGAGCCGGGCCCAGGCCTCGGCGATGGCCGTGGTGTTGCTCAGCATGCACACGGCCCTCTGCACCTTGGCCAGGTCTCCTCCAGGAACCACGGTGGGGGGCTGGTAGTTGATGCCCACCTTGAAGCCAGTGGGACACCAGTCCACGAACTGGATGGAGCGCTTGGTTTTGATGGTGGCGATGGCGGAGTTGACGTCTTTGGGCACCACGTCTCCGCGGTACAGCAGGCAGCAGGCCATGTACTTCCCGTGGCGGGGGTCGCACTTCACCATCTGATTGGCCGGCTCGAAGCAGGCGTTGGTGATGTCAGCCACCGACAGCTGCTCGTGGTACGCCTTCTCCGCTGAGATGACGGGGGCGTAAGTGGCCAGGGGGAAGTGGATACGAGGGTAGGGCACCAAGTTGGTCTGGAACTCCGTGAGGTCCACGTTCAGGGCGCCGTCGAAGCGCAGGGAGGCGGTGATGGAGGAGACGATCTGTCCGATCAGGCGGTTCAGGTTGGTGTAGGTGGGACGCTCGATGTCCAGGTTCCTGCGGCAGATGTCATAGATGGCCTCGTTGTCCACCATGAAGGCGCAGTCCGAGTGCTCCAGGGTGGTGTGGGTGGTCAGGATGGAGTTGTACGGCTCCACCACAGCGGTGGACACCTGAGGAGCCGGATACACAGCGAACTCGAGCTTGGACTTCTTGCCGTAGTCGACCGACAGACGCTCCATCAGCAGGGAGGTGAAGCCGGAGCCGGTTCCTCCTCCGAAGGAATGGAATATGAGAAAACCCTGGAGACCTGTGCACTGGTCCGCCTGAAATCATGTGATCCAGGTCAGACAGACATCCCCATGAAGAATCGAGAGATCAGAAACGGAACTTACCAGTTTACGGGTCCTGTCCAGAACCAGGTCGATGATCTCCTTGCCGACCGTGTAGTGACCGCGGGCGTAGTTGTTGGCAGCATCTTCCTTCCCCGTGATCAGCTGCTCAGGGTGGAACAGCTGCCGGTAAGTTCCGGTCCGGATCTCATCTGTAGAACCAGAACAAGCTCTTTTTTTATCATCTCCTGTTCCACGTGGGCTTCAAGGACAAGCAAAATTTTGAGTTAAAATGATCGCAGTACCGATAACTGTTGGTTCCAGGTCCACAAAGATGGCCCTGGGAACATGTTTTCCAGCTCCGGTCTCACTGAAGAAGGTGTTGAAGGAGTCATCTCCACCTCCAACGGTCTTGTCACTGGGCATCTGTCCATCTGGCTGGATGCCGTGCTCCAGACAGTAGAGCTCCCAGCATGCATTGCCCATCTGGACGCCAGCTTGGCCAACATGCATAGAGATACATTCACGCTGTCGGAGAAAAAAAAAAAAAAAAAAAACGGACGTTTGAGGAATACAAGGACTGATTTAAATCTACACAGACGCAAAAAAAAAAAAAAAAAACTAAACCTTCAGGTTTGAAAGCATTCAATTAATATTTTTAATATGAATTAAAAAGAAAAAAAAAAAACTAGACCACAATTTTTTATTATTCATTTTATTTTTAAAGATGGTGAGAAACCGTTCACATTTTAGCCATGAGGGTTCTGCGTCGTCTGCAGGCTCCCATCGGTGAGACGTCCGGACGTGCCTTGAACGCATCATTAGTTTAACAGTCGGATCGTAATCTGTAAACCTGATGAATCATGTTTAACTCGGGTCACGTGACGGCAATTAGCCCCACCCATTATTGCAGTAAAAACACGCCCATCACTGCGCAGTCCAGAACCACGCAGACCGGAAAGAACGAACGTCCCCGTGTGGCGTTCACGGACATGCATGGCTCAAAAAAAGATAAAAAACTACCGCCTAAACATTTTGTTCGGTTTAAATAAACGGGGGGGAAAATCCACCAAATATTTTTGTTCGTTAAAATTTTTGATCCCCAAAACGGTCAAGATATCGTACTTAGCGCGATTGTATTTTTTGACACATTTTTCAACTGCGTCATCTAGGCCTCGCGGCACAGAACCTGACGGACACTGAATAACTTCGTTAAATAACGGATTTTAGGCCATCTTAATGTTCTTGTCGAGCTCAAACCTTCATTTTTGTTTTAGGTTACGTTTTACAAACACTTAAATGTGGTAATTAACATTTAATTTACGGATTTTCTTTGAAAATATAACCAACTCTTACATGAATTTCTCGGTAAAACTCACCATTTTTTCAGCTTTTTTTCTCTTCCTCTTCCCGACGTTCAAGGATCGGCTGTTGGAGGCGATGTGACTAAGAAGAAAGCGCCACTCCTTTTTATAACGTCCTCAGAGGCGGGACTAATGGGCGGGGCCTAAGACACATTTGAATTTCCTTTCGGCGGGAGGATACACGTCAGAGTTTTTTTTCTTCTTCTTTATTTGTAACTAAACTGTTTACAATACAAAGTCTGAAAGAAAAGAAGTGTCATGGTTCTAACGACAGTATTTTCTTCAATGAATGTGATGTTTTGCGAGTAATAGTAGATTTATAAGGTTGTCAGAATTGTTTTTATGCATATGTTTTTTCATAGAGGCCAAGCAACACATGCTTCCATAAAAACACATGCTTCCCGTTCCAATGCAACAGCTGGCTGTGTTGTGATATTCTTCTAAAATAGGGCTCGTATAAGTTTATTACGTACAAGGATGACCGGACAAACAAATTTTCCTTACCTGCTGGGGATGGACAAGGATGTGAGTCAATCCTCCGATGGCCTTTAAAAAGCATACGTGCACCAGATGGGATGGCGCCGAACACCTTAGTGAAACACGTCTGAGTTGACATGCGTCGCCATGTTTTATGTTACAAAATGTTTAAAATACAGACTTATTACATCAACTGTTCATATAGATTTACGTGAATTTACACTGCAAATAAACGCAGCAGAAAAGTCCATGCGTTTCCCGTCATATTGAATGTTTTATATTTTATTTTATGAAATTGATCCGTCTGGCTGAAGGAAGTCTGAGATCGTCATCTAAGTATTTTCCCAATGGCGAAATTAGTTCTCTGTATTTAAGCCATCGCACCTGGGATACACCCAGGTGGAGTAGTGGGCAGCTATGCAAGCACCCGGGGAGCAATTATGGATTGGGTGTTTTGCTCAGAGACACCACGACATGTGGGAATGGCTGGGGATCGAACCTGGTCAAACCAAGTCGGCTGCACTACCTCTACCCTATCGGTCCCCAAGAATGATGTGCTTTAGGCCTTAGAACTCAAACCACACAGGAGATACTCTAGAAATACGTTCTCATGGAGAGGTATTAGTTAAAACAATGGTTCATCTCTGTTGTTGAGAGAAATAAAACGTGAAACTGCTAAAACTTACCATGATTTTAAATTCTGCTCTTGATATCAAAGACCTACAGAAGATGGGGTATAGGGTTTGTTTCTGTATAGTTTCTTAGCAACACGTTTATTGTGGATGAGCTCTGTTTTAGAGATGGAGAGTGGACAACCCATGCCCAGGCATGCCCCGCCGCCACACATCAATAACTTTCTGGTGAAAGATAATGTGTAACCCTGAGTCGGTACAACTGGTATCGTAAAACTCGTGCACTGTGAAAGCCTTCTGCCAGAACTCAGTGCTCAGAGGGGGGTCAGAGATCTCCAATGAGATCCTTCTCTGTTTGGCAATGAAGAATACGGCGTAAATACAGTGGCGCTTGAAAGTTTATGAATCCTTTAGAGTTTTCTGTATTTCTGCATAAATAAAACATCAGATTTTCACACAAGTCCTAAAAGTACATAAAGAGAACCCGGTTAAATGAGACAAAACATTATACTGAATTTGGTCATTTATTTATAGAGGAAAATGATCCAATACGTATTACATATATGTGAGTGGCAAAAGTATGTGAACCTCTAGGATTAGCAGTTAATTCGAAGGTGAAATCAGAGTCAAGTGTTTTCAATCAATGGGATGATGCTCAGGTGTGAGTGGGCACCCTGTTAGATTAAAGAACAGGGATGAATAGATAGGGCAGCACGGTGGTGCAACTGGTAGAGCTGCTGCCTCTCAGCAAGAAGGTTACCGGTTCAAATCCCGGTCCGGGTGCCTTCCTGGGTGGAGTTTGCACGCTCAGTGCCCTGAGACGACTTCTGCCGTGACTTGGTGCTATAGAAATAAACTGAATACGTATATCAAAAGACTTCTTCAGTCTGAGGAGCTGCAACATGCTCAGTCTTGTAAGCTGTTTTACCACTCGGTGGTCTCCAGCGTCTTCTTCTACGCTGTGGTGTGCTGGGGCAGCTGATGCCAACAGACTTGATAAGCTCAAGAAGAGAGCTGGCTCAGTTCTGGGAGTGGATCTGAAGTCTCTGACAGAAACTGCTCCCGATCCTGAACAACATGTCACACCCTCTGCATGACATCCTGGACTCTTACCGCAGCACCTTCAGTCGTAGAATGAGACCACCGAGGTGCTCCACAGAACACCACAAGGAAGTCCTTCCTCCCTGTGGCCATCAAAACTTTTTAACTCCTCCACCTTTCTGCACGTAGGACATTAAAAAAAATAATCCTGTACTACAATAAACTCTTTAATGTTTCTGTCTGCACCTGTTTCGAACTTAATTGTTGGCATTTTTATTTTCTCTGTTATTTTCATATCTTGTGTATCGAAACTCTGGCACATCAATTTCTTGCGGGATCAATAAAGTTCTTATCTTTTCTGATCTTATCTTATGAACAGCACCTTCTCATAGTGGATCAATCAATAGCAAGGGGCCATCATTTGCGTGGCAGGGTTGAAGGAGGAAGCCACTGCTCTCCTGTAAGAACATCGCTGCTCGTCTGCAGTTTGCTAAAAATCACGTGGCCAAGCCAGAAGGCTGTTGGAAGAATGTTTTGTGGACGGATGAGACCAAAATAGAACTTTTAATTTGTGTTATGTTTGGAGAAAGGAAAACTCTATCCCGCCTGTGAAACGTGGTGGTGGGAGTATTATGGTTTGGGTCCGTTTTGCTGCATCTGGTCCAGGACGGCTGTACATCCCTGACGGAACAATGAATTCTGAATTATATCAGAGGATTCTAAAGGACAATGTCAGAACATCTGTCCATGAACTGAATCTCAAGAGAAGGTGGGTCATGCAGCGAGACAATGACCCTCAGCACACGAGTGGTTCAACCAAAGAATGGTTCAAGAAGAATAAAGTTCATGTTCTGGACTGGCCAAGTCAAAGTCCTGAATTAGTCCAATCCAGATGTTGTGGAAGGACCTGAAGCAGCAGTTAATGTGAGGAAACCACCAGAGTTGAAGCTGTTCTGTACTGAGGAAATTCCTCAAAACCGGTGTTCAGGACTGATCAACGGTTTCTGGAAACATTTAGTAATTATTGCTGCACACCACGTTCTGGAAGCAAAGGTTCACATGAAAATCGGATGATGTTGTAGCTCATATTTACGCAGAAATGTAGAAAATTATAAAGGGTTCACAAACTTTCAAGCACCACTGTATATGATAACAGAGGCCTTATACCTTATTATGTCAAAACAATAGAAATAATGAACATACTGGCTGAGATGAAAACGTTTCTGGTTTGCAGAGGGGTAATGGAGACCACAGCCCTGGGGAAAAGGTTATTTTTTCAGTTGGTGTTGATCTGATCGTGCTGGAACCACACCCACATGGAAAGCGGGTCAAACAGCTGATGGTCAGGGTGTGCCCGGTCATGGCCGAAGCTGCTGGGCTTTGTCCCGAGTCAGAATAAATACAGTCCATGATAGAAGTCAGGGGTGGGATGTAACTAAGTACAAGTACTTTGTTAATGTACTTGAGTACATTTTTCATGTATCTGTACTTAGGTAGAGTTAAACGTGGGTACTTTCAACTTTTAATCCACTACATTTTACATTAAGTATCTGTACTTTCTACTACACTACATTTCTATAATGCGTTACACGTTAAACATTGTGGTTTTTTGGATTTGTTCGTTACTTTGAAAGTAACCAATGGCGAGAGGGGAGTTGGTCCATTGAATCACTGCAAAGTGGTCAGGTAACGTTAGACCCGCCTTCAAAAATATTTATCAATATATTCATCTAGTATATACGTCATTGAGCTGGGTGCACCCACAGCACCACTAACGCACCCAAAATGGACTCCACCACGGAGAGTCAGCCAGAACGTGCCACCCATGGCCTTATTGAAAGACCGTTCAGTACAGCAGGACAGATTCTCTCTCCCAAATGAGCCAGACTGGACTCAAAAAACTTTGCAACCCAACTTCTCCTGAACTTGAAGAAGAAATTTTTGCTGCAATATTAAAATATGTCAGTTTATGCGATGTTAGGACAGAAGACAAAGAGATGTCTCCAAATGACTCGACACTCAGGTCCAAGTTTTGAGAATGGTGTCAGGAAGTTAAAATATTGTTCACTATTGACCCATTACAAGGTTGACAACAGTATTTTAACTAGAGTTGATGACAAACTGGAGTTGAAATGATCAGAGCCTGTTCCTTTGTTAGGTGTGTCTAATGCTCCTTTTATCAGGCAGATTTTTTTTTTATTAAAATGGCTCAACACTATTAATGTATTACAGAAAATATACATACGGTAGGCACACTTAATGATATATTCTAAAATTGCGCCACTCGTGGTCGCTGCATGTTGGAGTAACTCTGTCATTTTGAGTTGTTGCTTTTGAAAACTTTAATTCCTCTTTGGCTTTTTGCCTGAAGAGTATTTACTCTGGTTTCGAATGCTGCGCAGCTGGGAGGATTCTTACTGAAACCTTTTTTCTAACGTTTGGGCATTTGTTATGATGCGTAACCATGGCAACAATGTGCTTTTTAACAACCAGGAGCAGCTGATTAACATCTCAAAAGCTCAATAATATCTCAGCTACAGCCCCAAATCTCAAATGAGTTGAAAAGGAGGCGCCGTGGATGAATTCCCATCAACCTGGCCACGGTGCTCGTCGAGTACCTGACCACCGAGATCCTGGAGCTGGTGGGAAACTCGGCTCGTGACAGTGGGAGGACTGGGATCATCCCCGGCACCTTCAGCTGTCTGTCCATGGCGAGGAAGAGCTCGGCACACTGCTGGGAGGCGTGACCATCGCTCCGGGAGGAATTCTGCCCGGTTTTCAGGTGGTCCTGCTGCCGGGAGGACCGAGGTGTCCGCTGGATTTGACGGTGGGCTGGATCTGGGTGGACAGGTTGGTAACTGTGGCCAGATTCTTTGGATTTGCTGTGAGAGATCCTTCCTGCCCACAGCTATCAGCATCTATAACAACTCTTGAATGAAACCAGGATGATGAGCTATGACAACACTTAATTTCCCTTTGGGATTAATAAAGTATTTCCGAATTCAATTAGAATTGAATATTGTAGACCATTGCATTAGGTAGTACATTCAGCAAGTACTTTTACTTTTGATACTTTAAGTATTTTTGAAAGCAAGTACTTCCTTACTTACTCGAGTAAAAATGTTAATGTGGTACTTCTACTTTTACTAAAGTACATTTTTGTCTGTTTATTTGTACTTTTACTTAAGTACAGTGTTTGAGGTGCTCTACCCCAATGATTGTGCAGCTTTAACCACCTGTTGTGTCGTAAGAACACTTTCAGTTGCACGGTGAGAAAAGTTGATTAGACGCTGCTGAAATGGGCCCGTCTCCGCTTTCACGTCATTACGTGTACACAATTACACATTGTTATGCCTTTTTTTTTTTTTTACCAGGTAAGGAGTATTAGAAATTCTATAGGATCTTTTCTGTGGACGCCCAGAAACTTGAGGCTCTCCACATATTCCACCTTGCTAATGGGGTGGGAGCAGTGGTGTGGTCTACGTGATGCACTGGTATACACTGGCGTATACCCACTAGAAAAGTTTGGGAAACATGGGAGGTTCCTTTGTCTTTTATTCTTGAGAGCTTTAAAATGATCTTTGTCTTGTTGATGGTAAGAACCAGTCATGACAAGCAGCGCCATCTCTGACCTGTTGCTGCCTCATCGTCATCGGAAATGAAACCAACAACTTTGGTGTCGTCAGACTTCACAGGCGTATATGGAGTAAAAACAGGTGCTGCAGTGAGTCAGAGCACTGGGTTCAGCACTCATGTGTAGAACCTGTGATCTGGATTAGCATGGGCGAAACGTGTTTGTAGATCCTGACTCTTTGGGTTGCTAAAGAAGTCCAGCAACCGGGAACAGAAGCAGCTCACGTTTTCTGACGCAACAAAACATCCAAATAAGAAGCATCAACATGTGCGTGTTGATCAGGAGTGTACTCTAACAAAAAAATTGAAATACATGAAATTTGGAAAAGAAAAAAAAAAAAAATGGAGAAGTGTTCCTATAGGGGACAATGGGTTTTAGGTGGAGCGAGTGTTAAAAGCTGGTGCTGTTTTGAGCTCTACAGCTCAAACTTCACAGCAGAAACACGATTCAAGCTTTAACGGGTTACAGAAAGTTGCACTGTCCAAGACTGAACTGGTGTTTCGATAGCTTTAACATTTTCTAAACAATCAAAGTTTAGTCCAACGTTTTTTTGTTGAGACGTTTCATCCTTCATCCACAGGACTTCATCAGTCCGAGGAGCCACAAACAAACCCAGTCCCACAAGCAGGGTTGTGTTTTGAGCCACTTTGGCTACGGCTGCTTCAGAGGAGTCGACGGGGGAGAGGGTGGGCGCTAGAAATTATCTAATCACCATCAAACTGGTTGGTTCTGTGGGACTCACATTTGTTGTGGCTCCTCAGACTGATGAAGTCCTTTGGATGAACAACATCTCAAAAAAAAAAAAAAAAGTCCAGAGGACCTGACTGAACTTTGATGGATTTTTTACCTGGATTATTGAGCATGAACTTTGAAATCATAGTTTAGATTTGAGGATTTAAAGCTATAACAAACTCTTCATATTTCCTCAGTCTTTTTTCTTCTTCTACAGTTTATCCATCCAATCATGTATTTTGTCTTCTTTTTCTCCACGTGTCTCTCGGTGCTGGAGGACCGATGGTTTTCTTTCAAACCTTCCTCAGAGGTAAGAGTATACACTCACCCAAACTCTTTGACTTCCATATCAAGCGTTTCATGAAGTTGTACTGGTAATCTCCAAAAACATAGTAGAAGCATGAAAAAAAAAAAAAAGTATGACCATCAAAGCCGCTCACTGGTCAATAAGTTCTGTTTTCACGTTTTGTCACCTTTCTTTAAAAAATACACCACCACAGAATACCCTGTTGCATTCATCTTTAATGACACCGACAGTGCATTTGTTAAAACATGGACCAGTTTGATTTTTATTAATTTATTTCACAAAGTGTGTAAATACAAGTTACATACGCTTATTATTTAAAATGATTGTAGCCAACCAAAAATACATTTTAAATAATATATTACAATGTATTCCAAGTCTTTTATTTAGCTGCTTATGCAGTTATGAACTCCAAAACTTCACTTTTAATAAAATAAAAAAAGATGTGTCTACATAATAATGAGCTATTCCTAAGGTCCAGACACATAAAATCTTATTTAAAAATGTTTTAACAAGTGTCATAAAAAGATGAAAGTAAGGTAATAAAAGACAGTTTCTATTATGAGGTTTATCGTTTCATCTCTCGGTGAATCGATGAATAATAATAAAACCATTTCTGCGTTAAAAAATTTAAGCCACACATCAAATCATATCCTCAAAATGACCAGTGCTAGAAAAAAAAAAAAAAACCTGTTCCCTTGGATAAGAAACTTTACTAGAGTTTGATAAATCAGGGTCGAGTCCTGAAAACATAATGTTAAATGTGGCGTTCCACTAGGACGTGTCACTGGACTCCTGCAGTTCATTTTACACAAAAAAAACACTACCTCGTGTTACATGAACGGAAAAAATTCGAATTAAATGCTCCATGCAAAGGATCTAGGAGAGTTCCCAAACAGGGATGCACAATTCAAGAAATTTTCAAAGTTGGAAACTTTTCATGTGAATTCATGGGACTTTATGGAAATAAACGTAGAATTAAAAAAACAACGGTTGTCTGGGATTTTAAAGTTGGAGAACCTATATATTAGCACAATTTTGACTAAAATAAGCAGATTGCTAATATATTATGCAGAATATGTAGAGACAAATGGAAATAGTAACATATAAAACATTTAGTTCAGAGTTGTAACTAGTTTAGTTGTGAAATGCAATTTGTGCAATAGACACTTTTGGTCAAACTAATCATCCGTCTGCCTCTAACAAAAACAAAATGATTACATTTTCATTTGAATATCATAGTTTGTTTAAATTACCCCAAATTTCCAGTTAATTCCCATAAATTCCACAAAAAGTACCTAATTTAGAATATGTCCATTATTTTTCACCTTAACTTCCCAAGAGAAGTTTCTGGAAATAATTTGGGTTTTAATTCTACAATAATTCAATTCAGAACAGCCATGGAAAAAAGAAAGTCTACTATCTTTCACTTCTAAGGTTTAAGGCATAATAAAACTGATTTGCTCTTTAACTGGTTCTAAAACATCACTGGGACCACAAGACCTCTGGAACAAAACCAGACAAAAGTAGATACGTTTACCCAGAATGCACAGCAGCAAACGCCTCATTCCTCTCAGATTTATGTGTTGCTTGACTGAGAATCAGCATCTGCAAAGGCCTCAAAACACCAAGATGTAGGTCCAAAGTGGATTTCCAGAGATTTGACTAATTTAAAATTTGTTATTCAGCTATGGTTTAAAATGTCTAAAATTAGCTAATGGTTGTTGAGACTGTTCGTGTTCTCATTTATTTTTAAATTTTTTTAATTAACGTTTGGGCTCTCGGGTGTCTGCTGCTGTTAATTTGTGGGTCAGAGGCTGAACAGTTCAGAAAATCTTGTTCTAGAGTCAAATGTGAGGACTGCTGTCCAAGAGCTGACACTTGGACCAAACTGGGCCAAGAAGCAACTTGACAATAATTCCAAACACAGCAGCTCATCTACAATAGAACGGCTCGAAAAGAAAAGAATCAAGATGCTGCAAGGGTCCAGTCAAATCCAGAACCTTGGCTTGACTGAAATCACCTTCAGTGAGCCGAAAGGTGAGTAACGTCTGCAAACATCAATGAACTGAAGCAATGTTACAAAGAATGGGACAAAATGCCTCTACAACCATGTGAGACTGATAAAGTCCTACAGCTTGAACATGGAAACCCTAGAACTAAAAGGGTGGACTTTGTTCCCCATGACTGTTTGTTTCCTATAAAAGCTTTGAACTTTGACTAAACAGGCACCGTTTTCCATCATTTGAATCATATGATGCCTTTCAACGGGTCCAACAAAAATCGAGGTGAGAACTGAGGTGATGGAGGAGACAAAGGCTAGAATCTGTTTGTGGCGTTGACATCAAACCTTCTGAGTAAAGTTTTCAGGGAAAACACCTTTGGCTGAAATATCTTTTTTCTGCAACCAGTGGGACTCCTTTAAACCCAAGAGCCAGCCATCGTCCTGAGAACAGACAAGACACACCAGAGCACTTTCAACGATAATACACAAGAAAAAAAAACCTCTGGGCTCATATTTCAGTTCAAATGCTGTTAGACTTGTAATAAAAATTATTATAGGAATAACAAACCTAAATTAAAAGATCTTTATCTAAATAAACACAAAAAATACATACCGTACATTTTGCTGTATAAGTTGCGGTTTATTGCATAATTTGCATGCCCTGCAACTTATAGGCCAAAGCGACGTATTTATGGATTTTTCCCCATATTTATAAACCAATTTTTGGCTGAGATATTTCATTCATTCTGACTGAAAAAAATTGAACACTACCATTTTCAGCCACTAGATGGCACTTGAGTAGTAAGGCATGCTTTTGAAAAAAATTGAACACTACCATTTTCAGCCACTAGATGGCACTTGAGTTGTAAGGCATGCTTTTGAAAAAAATTTAACACTACCATTTTCAGCCACTAGATGGCACTTGAGTAGTAAGGCATGCTTTTGTATCTTGCAATAGGTAAAAGTGGCTATTAATGACACAATCGGCTTGCCACAGTCTGCCACCGTCGTCTGCCTGGAGCAACCGAATCAGCTGCATTTTGCTGCATCGCCCCAGCGAAATGCAGCTGATTTGACCGTGGAAGTGCATTTATTAAGTAAAAGTTCAACTGAGACACACCTTTAACTATAAAGTCGAGCAAACAAATAATTGTTTTTAGGTGGTTATTTTGTTCAATTTCGGAAAAAATGGACCGAGTCGCCTTCTGCGCGTTCATGTTTCCGCGTAGTGGGTTTTGAAATGCAGCTGATTTGAGCATCAAAGTGCATTCATTAAGCAAAAGTTAGAATGTGACACCCATTTACTATAATTTCGAGCGAACAAATAATTGTTTTTAAGCGTTAATTTAGTTAAATTCTTGTTAAAGTCCTCCCGTGCACGCTCCCGCAGCTGCCATTTGGCAGCCCATCGGTTTTTGGTACAACACCAGCCCACATTTCCAGGTTGTCAGCGGTGATGCGTAACAAGCGCAACGCGTCAACGGTGACGCATAGATACGACATGTACGACGAAGCGACATATTTATGGATTTTTCCACTTTATAAGACAAATATGGACTAATGCGACTTATAGGGCGGTGTGACGTGTACGGCGGAAAATACGGTACCTGTTCATCTGGGTTGTCAAAAGCCAAAACCAAAACAACGTCGCCGATGTTCAGCTCCAGCTCGTCATTATCTGTGGCGGTGTACTCGTGTACAGCTTTGACCTGGAGGACAAGAATAACGAATCTTAACGAAAGCCAAACCAGAGTCTTTATTCAACAGCTAAAAGGCAAACGAGGTGGTGTACCTTGTAGAGGAACCCTGGAGGAAGCTCTCCATTGGAGCCATTGGTCACCAAACTCTGTAGCTAGAATGTAGAGAGAAGTCCAGGTGTGTTAGGAAAGAGGTCTCTGGTGAATCAAAGCACACTAAAGAATAATAATTAAAAAAAGAGTTCAAAGGAAAAAGGAGGATAAAGTAGGAAAAAAAGAGGGGAACTTCAGGAAGACCATCATTTAGAGTCTTTCAGCAAATTTTAAGGAATCTAAGACTGATCAAGAGGATGTTTCAGCGATTCCATCTGTGACCCTTAACTCTACCTCCTCCTCCTCAACATCATCCCAGTTGGGTGCAGTGTATCCCTGGTCTTCAGTCCAGTCCTCAGTCCTGGGCTGACTGTAGCACTGATGGCTGCTTTCATTGTAATCCCAACCACTCTGGGCCTCTTCTGTGTCCTCGGCGTGCTGGGGCACCTGCTCCGAGGCAGTCTGCTCTCGCTACAACACCAAGGGTTGGGTTGCATCAAGAGGAAGGATACAGGAGAAGCCAAAGGGTGGAATGGAACAGTAAGGACCACGATACAAGGAGGAGCAAAGCCAAAGGAAGGAAGTTGGAAAAGTTTATTTCACCATTTATTAAAGTGCAGCAGTGGTTTTTCTACAGAACGAGTGGCTCAGGCTTACCCACGAGTCCCATGATGGCGCCTGATGTGGAACAGGAAGGAATGAGACAAAAATGTTTATTGCATCATCAAACATGGACAGTTTTGTGCTTCCTATCAGTGTCTCACCATTTTTGAGGACTAATGGTGCCAAATGAAGGCCACATGATTTCCTGTCTAACCAAGGAAGGAAAGTTCTGATGCCTTATGTACCAACGTTGAAGTTTTTGTGGACTTTTGCTTTAAACCAGAATTTGAAAGATTGAATTCAAAAATACTTTATTAATCCCAAATGGAAATTAAGTGTTGTCGTAGCTCATCATCTGGTTTCATTCAAGAGTTGCTATAGATGCCGATAGCTGTGGGCAGGAAGGATCTCCTGCAGCAAATCCGAAGAATCTGACCACAGATACCAATTCGTCCACCCAGATCCAGCGGGCCTCTCGGTCCTCCTGGGCAGCAGAACTGCCCGAATGCCGGGCAGAATTCCTCCCTGAGCAATGCTCACTCCTCCCAGCAGTCTGCCGAGCTCCTCGTTGCCACGGACACACAGCTGTAGGTGCCGGGGATGATCCCGATCCTCCCAGTCACGAGCTGAGATTCCCACCAGCTCCAGGATCTCGGCGATCAGGTATTCGAGCAACGCCACCAGGTTGACGGGAATTCATCCATGGCGCCTCCTTTTCAACTCATTTGAGATTTGGGGCTGTAGCTGAGCTATTATTGAGCTTTTGAGATGTTAATCAGCTGCTCCTGGTTGTTAAAAAACACCTTGTTGCCATGGTTACGCATCATAACAAATGCCCAAAAGTAAAAAAAAAGTTTCAGTAAAAACCCTTCCAGCTGCACAGCATCCGATACCAGAGTTCGAAAAAAGTGATTGACATCCAGAAAAAAAGAGTAATTAAAGTTTTCAACAGCAATAACTCAGAATGAAAGTAACAGAGCTACTCCCAACATGCAGCCACCCAGAGCGGTGCAATTCTAGAACTTCAATGAACTTCTGGAGCAATAATCCGTTGTAGTGGATACTTTAAGTTATTTGTTTCTTCTAGTCTTAGGAATAAAAAAAGTTTACAGTCGTTGAGTTTGAGGGTTATGACCAGCTAGCTTGTAGACGGTTTTCTGTAGGACGTCATCGGTTTCTCGCATGGATCTTGAAGAATTTTGGCCCACTCGTCTTTCAAACGCCGCTTTAGTTCATTGAGGTTTGCAGATACTGGTTTCTGCTCAGCTCACTGAAGGTCCCAACATAGACATTTCAGTCAGGCAGAGCTTTTGGACTTTGACTGGATTGTTGCAGCACCTCGATTCTTTTCTTTTTTTGAGCCGTTCTGTTGTAGACGAGCTGCTGCTTGGGATCTATCGCATCACGACCCAAGTTGGTCCAAGCTTCAGCTGCTGGACAGATGTTCTCACTGAAGACTCCAGAACAGTGGTTCCTACATTTTCAGCTTCTGATTCACAAAATAACAGCAGCAAATACTTGAGAACCCCCCAACTCTTTATAGTTCAAGTAGGAAATCATTCAATTTGTTGTAGTTTGGTCCCCATATCAACTTTGACTCTAGAAACCTTTGGTCTACAGGAGGTGCCCAGGTCCCGTGGCTGTGAAACAAGCTCAAACCAACAGCTCTCCACCACAGTGCAGACAGTTGTTATGAGGGGGTTGCTGCTGTGCATTATGGGTAAATGCCTCTACTCAGGTCTGGTTTTGCTCCAGAAGTCTTGTGGTCCCTTCAGATGAAACTTTCCAAACCTAAGTGGTGCTGCCATGTTGTTTAAAGACGGGTTTTATCATGCAACCCTTACAAACAAGCCATCCTGTCATGACTTTAAACCTTTTCCCAAACTGATAACAGTTGCTACGCAAAGGTCATTGCTGATGTTTTTCCTCCTTGATGTTGTGCACTCCTTTGAGAAGTTTTCTAGAGGCGGTACTACTGATGATGAAAGTAAAACCCTGGAACTAAAAGGAGGGTGGACCTTTTATAAAAAAAAATTTATCCTGAACTTTTTTTTGCTGAAAGAAAGGTGATAAATTCAAAAGTGGACAAAGTAAAACCAGGTAAAACAAAAAGACCTGATTAGGACCATGCAAAGCCATGCAGTGAAGGTTTGTCTGCTTTCATACAGCACACACACATTTCTGTTTACATGCAAACAGAGTAGATTTACACACCGAGACTAAAAAAAACCAACACTTTTGTTATGCATATTTTCAGATTTTTTTTTAAAATTAGAAACTATATTCTGTACATCATGAGCTAGAACTTCGGATAATTAACGTTTCACATGTTTAGGTTCAAACTGCATGGAAACACACTCACTTTCAACATGAACACCTGACCTGAGCATTGAACACATCCACCTCCGGAGCTGGAAATCTAACTTCAACATCCCAGTTCAGCAGGTTGACCCCTGACCTGGGCTCACACTGCTACACACACACACACACACACACATATATATTCATGTTAGAGGTGGTATTAGAGTTAGTGTTAGTCAAATGTTTTCGTAGGTAGAATAGGACGAATTTGTTAATATTGTTTTTAGAATTGAATCATCTTTGTAAATAAAATATCAAGTTGAAGTTGTGGGATAATGTAATAGCAGAAGATAACATTACGGTTGTCCTAAGGTGTAAATGAATATCATTTGAAAAAATTGAATTACATTTGAAAAAACTGAATTACTTTAAGCCAAAGTGGAAGTGGCCAAAGCGGAAGTGGCCAAAACGGAAGTGGCCCAAATCACATTAGAAAAAACGGAATTACATTTGAAAAAACGGAATCGCGTTAGAAAAAACGGAATTACATTTGAAAAAACGGAATCACGTTAGGAAAAAACGGAATTACATTTGAAAAAACGGAATCACGTTAGGAAAAAACGGAATTACATTTGAAAAAAACAAAAACCAGAATTACATTTGAAAAAAAAAACCAATCACATTTGAAAAAACGGAATCACATTTGAAAAACAAAAACAAAAAACAGAATCACATTAGAAAAAAACTGAATCACATTTTGAAAAAACGGAATTACATTTTGAAAAAATGGAATTACATTTTGAAAAAACGGAATTATGTTCAGCCAAACAAAGTTATTATTATTTTTTTTTACTTAACAGCATAAAACTGAACAACAGAACAATATACAGTACACACAACAGAGATACAGTTAAAATGATAGCCTGCTAACTGTATCTCCGTTGTGTGTGTACTGTATATTGTTCTGTTTTATGCTGTTAATAAAGTAAAAAAAAAAAACTCTTCCTGATTAATGTAATTCCGTTTTTTTCTAATGCGATTCTGGCCACTTCCGCATTGGTTTAATTCAGTTTTTTCAAATGTAATTTTGTTTTTTCAAATGTTGTTCATTTTCACCTTAGAGTCACCGTATAAAAGGGATTTAAAACAGTGAAGAAACATGGAGTTCCTCAGGGTTCAATCCTCGGGTCTCTTGTTTTTAACGTTACCATTTCATCAGTGTTCCAACATATCTTAGATTTAATTCATGACTAATTTCATAAATTCACGCAATAGCAGCCAAGAAAAATCAACCTAAACTCTTTGAATGGGGTCTGCGTTTTAATGGTCGCTCAGATGACAAAACCATCAGATGGATCTTTTTAATGTGAGGATTGTCTAGGTTTAGTCTGACCTGTGGTGCCATGTTGGTGTAGTTTGTGTCAGTGGCCAGCCCCAATGCCTCGTCCTCCAACAGGCGGGTGTTTTGCCGATTTGGGTCCGGAGACGGTGTCGGTTGTGATGGAGGTCGACTAGGAGGACCGGGCTTCTGCTCCAGCAGCAGGGTTTGAAACACACATGCAGCATGCAAACACAACAAGAACCACACAGTGAGGTTAGTACACATGCTTAGTTAATAATTACATTATTATTATTATTGTTATTATTATTATTATTATTATTATGAGTAAAAACAAGATCAACCTTCATATTGTAGAAATTACTTGACAAATGTTCTATTTTTGTTGTTGTTGTTCAGAAAGGACATAAAAAAAAAACTAATTTACTTATCAGTTATAAGAAAATGCTCACTTTGTTTTGGAATTTCAACTGTAGAGCCACAGGAGAAGGAAAAAAATTGCATCACTTACAAATAAATTTGCCTTCATTCGTGGAACTACTCAGCATGTCCACTCCAATTTTTGGAGAAAGTTCTGTTTTTAATACCCATTTTTTGAAAAGATTTATCTAAAAAAAAAAAAAAAGGGAGTCTTGTTCAAATGTACAGAATACACATCCAACAAGGTTAAGTCGGGTCCTCTGGGTGGATTCTTCTTGTTGAAACGTTTCATATTTCATCCAAATGACTTCTTCAGTCTGAATCCCTGCAACAAACAAACAGTCATAAATAGCACCTTATCACAGTGGATCAACCAGTTTGCTGGTGACATCCAGAACTAGCTATTCACTTGTAAAAGAAGGACCATTAGCCTAACAATGGATCTTTAGAGCCCTAACAATTGGCCGTTAGCACCCTGATGACCGCTTGTTCACAGAGGGGTGAGTGATACTAGCAACAGCATTGCAAGAGGGTGACAACTGGACACACAGACTTCCACCCATTTACCGATGGATGGCCTCCTTTACTCCTCTCTCAAACCATCGTTCCTCTCTATCTAGGATGTGAACATCTTCATCCCTGAACGAGTGACCGCTGGCCTGGAGATGAGTATAGACCGCAGAGTCCTGGCCTGATGATGTCACTCTTCTGTGCTGGGCCATCCTTTTGACCAGTGGCTGTTTAGTTTCCCCGATGTAAGTCTGATCACCCTCCTGACACTGAACAACATACACAATATTACTCTGTGTCGGGGGTCTGGATCTTTGTGATGAACTGGTCTTTGCCGTAATGTATTTTGGGGTTTGAAAGCCACTGGGACGTTGCGTTTAGAAAATGTTCAAGTGTTCAACTGTCACCCTCTTACAGTGTTATCGTTATCACCGTTATCACTCAGCCCTCGAATAGCAAGCGGTCATCAGGGCACTAACGACCAATTGTTAGACTCATGGTCCTCCTTTTACATGACTGAGTTTGTTGCAGCTCCTCAGACTGAAGAAGTCTTTTGGATAAAAGATGAAACGTTTCAACAAGAAGAACATGTCCAGAAGACCTGACTTGGACCCCGTTTATACGGACACAGCTGCAGAAACATAGTTTTCTGGATGAAGATTCGGGGTTTACATGGAACTGCAGAAATTCCCCCAAGTCCGCTGTAGCTGCCGTGCCAGGTCATCGGCTGGCACTCTGAATTTTGTACCTCCATCTAACGCGCATGAGCGCTGGCACTTGAACCCTGTGCGTAGATGATAAATATTGATATGGAGAGTGGAAAAAGCTTAGAGTGGACTGATGATGAGGTTTACTGCTTAACGCAACTTTGAGTAAATCAGCATGTTGCACTCCAGTGTCGTCGTCGTTGATAGAAATGTGCCGCTTGGCCGCACATGCATGAAATATGCGCCTGCATCTGGACAAAACTTCACACAGTTGGTTTTAAATGTCTCAAATTCAAATTCGGACCCAGATGCTATACATTTACGTTTTATAGAGAAACGTCACATTAAAAATCTTTTTTACAACAGAACCAGCCAAAGAGGCAGTGAAACAACAAATGTATGACTGTAGCGCCGATAAAAACAAGGACCCACAAGGGCCAGGTCTATTAATCTAGAACCTGCTGGAACACCAGTTCTACATCACTGCAGACAGAGAGGACCTTCAAGCACTTCTTCGTACCAACTGTCAAGCACGGCGGTGGGTGTTTCTGCACCTTGGATCAAACAGGTTGGAACGGTGGGTCCAACAGGACCGCGACTCCAAACGCACATCCGAACTGGTTTCAGACTGGATAAATCAGGCTGACATCAAACCTGAACCTGAGCAATAATTTATGTTTAAAAGCTGGTTGGTGCAGAAAACCCACCAGTAAGAATGAACTACCAGTTCTGCCAAGAACATCCTGAATAAATGAGATTTTTTTATTTTTATCATTCCCGTTTTATTTAACATTTACTGACAAAAACATGTAGAAAAGTATTCTGACTTGAAAAGCATTTTATTAGTGTGAAACCTGCAGGATTACAGTCAGTGTCTCTACAGGAAGTCACTGTTCAGGTGAGTGTTTTATGTTTAGTTCACCTTTGGAGCTGAGCTGGCTGATTCGCTGTGGTTGGCTTCCTCACTGAGAGCAGAGAGAAAGATTAATTAAATTAGTCACACATGAAAAAAAAAGCTTAAACCAAAATTTAAACAGTAAAAATAGGCAGTTCTCATTCTGTCCACACGAGGGCGCCACCATGATTGAAACAGTTCAGAGCAAAAAGAACAAGCAAAGAAATGTTAGTTTCTTATTTTTAGGCTTTAATGTTTTATGACTATTTTTCCTCCATGTTTAGTTTTTCAGTACAGTTTGAAATAAAAAGTCAAACCTAAAATCTGAGTGTTTTTTTAAAAAGGAACAATTTGGGGGAAACAAAACAAAAAAAATCACAAAGACGTCAAATCCAAAAAATTGGACTCTCATATTGATGATATTTGTGTCCTTAAATTAAAATCTTGTAAAAAAAATGTGTGACCAGTCGCCATTTACCATATGTGTTTGTTTACAAATAGAAACAGCCAATGGATGTTTGTAAACAAACATACTTTGACCTGCAAACAAAGACATTTGGCTGTTTAGTTTGTAAACTAATAAAAACAGCCAAAAATTCCGTTTGTTTCCCACACAAACAGCTAAATGTTACCTAAACACCCAAAGTCTGTTTAACTACAAAAAAGACAAATGTGTGTGTGTTTTTTTTTTCCCTTATGGTAAAACAATCCCACTTTGCCCGTTTTACCGTAGGTAAAACAACCTCACTTTGCCCGTTTTACCATAGGTAAAACAACCCCACTTTGCCCGTT